CCGGGCAAGAATCCGTGGAATCTCGTCTGTACATACGCGATATCGCGTTATTATGTGATACAACGCACCGGGCGAGTGCATTGTTGGCCAAGCAAATACCGGGCTCCCCCTTAAATTGCAATCGCTAACGCGACGTGCATACCTTCTCGTTACGATGGATCGTAATTGAAAATCTGTACCTCGCGGCCACCGGCGAATCACCGATTTTACGAGCGACAGGCGCGGTCGGCTAATCGCGAGTAACTTCTGCGTCCAATGGCGATCTATGGGCGTACGTTGAAAACCAGGTTCAAAATCGTTCTTTCAATTGTCATTAATTATCACTGTTTGTGATGTACGTGGTACTCGGACATCATTGCTTCGATTCGAGCAATAACAGGAATATAAGAATTTATATCATTGCCGTGCCATTTATCTCGGAAAAATTCGGAATTCGGTGCTAAAAAGGATCTATACAATGACGCACGTAAATTAATTTAAATTCAGTTACATTGGTAAAGTATTGAAACATGCAATATTTTCGTTAATTCATCTTAACATTCATTAGCACGTACATTGTATTGAAAGATTAATACACTTTATATACATTTATATTTATATTACACATATACACATGTTATATTAATTGATTAATACACATGTTATATTTGTAGATGTAATGGAATTATTGCAACTGAATTTAAATTAATTTACGTACGTCATGCAGATCCTTTTTAACGCCCAATTCCGTCGAAAGTTAAACATTATATACGGGATTGCGGTTACGTGACATCTCTAGATGTGATGTCATTAACGCATGTCTTTTAGACGTCTAGTTACAAAAAATCTCACGTAGTGCCCGACACTGGCCTCGATACAGGAGTCAGTATTACCGTTGCACGAGACACGGGACGCGAGGCACTCGGAAAAAGCTGACAGGGACTGGGAGCCAGGGACGGCGACGCGGTGCGGTGCGGTGAGGAGCGGCCAGCGGCCAAGGGAGATTCGAAAAATAAGAAGAACAATCGTGGAAAAGCCAGCGGGCTCTGTAACTAATGGGGGAATAGCCGCGACCTGCGAGGCAAAAGTGCCGCTCGTTCTTGCTGCACGGGATGCCACAAATTCTGTCCACTGCCCATAAAGCCGGAGAAATGGGAGCACGGCCAAAACAATCGCGCGACGTATCCCGTAGGATACTGCGCCATTTCCGCCTTCCGTATCTACCTACCGCGCTGCGGAATTCTTTCCTTCGACCTTCCCTATACGATCACGGTTTTACATCTTTTACTGGAATTCCTATCACGAGCGTCCACATTCTAAATTTATAGAATCAATTAATAATTTACGTTCAAATTATCTTTGATAGAGTCGAGCATAATACGGTTTATAATAAATCAGCTTTTTGGGTGAATAGAAGGAAACGTCTTGGTTGAATTTGTAGGAACACGATCACCGCCAGTTTCGATTCTGTCAATTAGCAACTGTTAAGAAGCAGAAACGTGGTTGAATCTGGGCGATGCGTAAAGCGAGGTCTTTGGATAACAATCACGGGAAAGTAGCGCACGGCAACAGCTACGTCTGCTACTACTAATGGCCGGAGAACTTTGATTCGAATTTCCATAATGATTAGAGTTTGGCACAGCGACGCGCAAACTTGAGCATATGTATCTACATTCTACAGGCGGATCACCGAGCTGCTGGATTTGTATCGCGTATAAATGCATCAACCGCTGCGTCGAGTTGTGCTAAGAAATTGTTTCGTTAAACGTAAAATCGAAAGGATTTTCCGAAACAAATAATGAATACTCCAATTTAGAAAACGAGATTCTAACTTTGACGATCGGCTAGCTTTAAGTAACGATCGATGAATTATTTCCACACCGCTGCGTTCCGTCAATAAAATGCTCTAACGCACTTGTCAATCTGTAATTTGCATATGCTATATTCGGCTTCTGTGCGCCGGCAAGGAGTCTTTTATCCGACATTTGCCCCCTGGATACGGTCCACGGAAAATTTCCCTGGCGAAAATTCAATTTTACTTCGCCGGTTCTCGTATCGCGAGCTGGAATGAGGGATAAGGCGAACAATCGAGTTATCGTTAGTCTCGTACGTTAACTGGCGAAACTTAACATCCCCCGTTGGCCAAATTTACAAAATTGCCCTCGCCGCCGTTGGATCGCGTTAACGCGACGAGATCTCTCAAACTTCTACACGTTCGCGTATGTACGTACATTCGAATAGATATTCGATGAAGCGACGCACCCTTTTTTCGATACTCGATATGTACAGAGTGTCCTATAAAAAGTGTTAAAGCTGAGAAGGGGTGATTCTGGAGGTGTTTTCTAATAACAATTTCCTTTGCGCGAGCCCTACGCGTGCTCTCGTCAGTGTTTTTCTTTAATAATTCAAAACCCACGCCTCACTTTGCATCTTGCCAAAGGAAATTGTCGTACAGAAACACCTACAGAATAACCACTCTTCGGCTCTAACATTTTTCTGAGACACTGTATATGTGTACACGTACTACATATGTACTTAACGCATCGAAATTCGTTCGAGGGATTTCGATCGCGTCCATGGACAAGTTTGAACGTCGGTAGTGGGAACGGTGGAGCCACGTATCTCGCCGCGAACGATCTCAATTGCGACTTTCGCCGGTGAATCTCGAAGCGGAATCCGTCGGCACGAACAATTTAATCAGCGAGAGCGAGTTTATTGGCCAGGACGTCGAACTTAACCCCGTGTTGACCAATTTCGACGGTTTACCCTCCCCGTACTCGTTACCGAGAGAACCTCGAGAGCGAAGGTAGCCCGGCTGGCTTACGTGGAACCGAAAAGGGGCCGGAGGGGCGCGGGTCGCATTTACCCTTAACCGTGCCACGAGGAGTTTGCCGTGGCCGTAGTTATAGTTAGCGCCGGTTTCGGTACTAGATCTGGGTGGAGGAAAGGGACTGCTCGATGGAAGAGGTGGGTCAGGGGATAGTTCGAAGAGAGAAGTTGCACGATGGTCCGATGTTATCTCTTCTACCGGTGGCTTAACCCTATCCACGCTCGGTTCTTGTCCGTACCGCCTCCGCTCCCGCTGTCGTCGTCCTCTCGGTCCCCCGTTACCGTACGTTCGCACCCCTTCTCGTGGCCAGCGGTCGCGAATAACCCGACTTGGCCCTGATCCAGAATTCACCGACGAGACGCATTCCAATAGGGTTTCTCTACCCTTTGTACCGGCTGCTGCGCTCGTAATATATGCCAACGCGTACCAATGGCATCGGGCCATCTTCCGCCCGGTTGAAAGTGTCGCGCGGCTACTCCTTTCCCCGAGCTGGACGCTCCTCCGGATCAAAGCCCCGAGATCGAACCCGGCGAGCAAACGCTCTGCAAAAAGCTGACACGGATCTTGGAATTTACGCCGGCTTCCGACGGACGGAGGACGACTCCGGTAGGTCAATAATTAAATCCGGAACGTGGCCGACGGAACTTGGCCCTCATGAATTTTCAGCGAACACAGGTGCCGGTGAATTATGCTCGGCAACGGAGAAAAACAAGACGTCGAGTGCGAGACGTGTAAAGGTTTCCCGCGAACTCGACGGAATATCATCATTGGTTTTCCGATGCTCGTTCACCGTGCCCCTTTCACGATAATTAGCCGAGGAAAAAAAGTTGCTCCGATCGATGCCCCGCCGACAACGTCGAACCGCAGATGCGCCGACTCGTCGATTCTACTAATTATCCGTCGGGCAGCGTACATTAGGAATCGGCGAGGCTCGTTATATAAAAGTTAGTTAACGATATATCGTGCTGTAACGGAATCTCGTTTAACGAAAATTACCCGGCGAATAAAAGGCCGCGACGAGCCGAGGAATAAAGATTAAAGAGCAGCGGATTTAACGACCGCCGGGATTCGACCTTGTCGTTAGATTCGTACAATTTCAGACGATTCATTAAAGGAGTCACGGGCTACACCGAGCGGGTAGAAAACGTTCGTCCTCGTGTCGCGCTTATCGCCATTCCAGATGCTTGACAAACACCGGACGCACGGGCAATTACGGGTTTACAGGCACGCGATATTTGATTGTTTATCGACATAACACGTAGCTCGTTACATCGTAGCTCGTTATAAATCAACGGACTGGACTCGCGTGTGCAGAATTTCACGGGCGATGCCTCGTGGTCGAAACTGGATGGAAAATTTCATGGCAGGAATAATTAACAAGCGGGACTGCCTTTGAGAATTCATTACCGGTGCCGAAATAAATGTAACGTCCACCTGGAAATCTCTATCCGCCGCGACAATAGAAATAGACGGAAAAAAATGTATTAAACGACTCGTGAATCCACGAGTACGGTTGCACCGACCTCATTCCTTGCACTTTTTCAAAAATTGAATCTATAAAAATATTTCGATTTGCATCGGGACGAAAAGATTCGTGTTCATCGGGAATAAAGATTTAGCTAATGGTACAGTCCTGAGTCACCATCGGTGCGATTAGCATCGGGCGGCGGTAAATTGGAGGGAAAAGATTTTGATACGGTTTACGGTAGACACGAGCCGCGCTATAAAAGAGACGCCGCGACACGGCGGCGCTCCATCGGGCCGAGGGGGCTCGATCGGTCGAGGTTCATTCAAATTAAGCAGGCCATTAGGCTGTAAACAGCGTCGTTAAACACCGATTATCGGCAACTGCTCCGAGCTAGATAACGCGGGAATAATGAAGCCTCGGGTAAGATTAACCCATTGTCTAGCCCCCGGAGGCGTATTGCACGAATCGGACGCTGTGGCTCTTCTTTATTCCACGTTCGGGTATGTACGTTCCCCTAATTCCATTTAAACCCTCTCGCGAATCAACGAATTCGGTTGATCGTTCTATTTTCATGAGCGACACGTACAGAAACAGGGAGTAGAGAATTTTTGGATAACCGCATTACGTTGAAAAACGACCTGTTCCGGAGCTATGTATATTTTTTAATGGGACTCGAAAAGATTTACGAGACACGCCTAATATCAATCATCCAGCTGACGGCACCTTTATTAAATTCTCCTTTGTAAAGTTCTTTCGCTGCATCCCCGGCTGATAACATCGGCTTCGGCGGAACCGCGTCAGTCACTGGATCCTCCGGAAGACATCGAGATAATTAAATAGTTCCGTTTCCGACACGTTCAGCCAAGAAACTTTTGCCATTTCTCCCGAAACTCTGAAAGAAAAGATAAATAAATGTACGATGACGAATATATTTCGATATTTTTCGATATTTTGAGAAAAAAAAATTTTTTCATTTTTCCGAGATTTTTCCAAGGGGTACCCCTTCAGATTTCGCGAAATTTTCGTTTTTTGCCAATAACTTCCAAACCGTTGAATCTACGGGAAAATTGCATCAGACCTTTCTTGTAGAGGACGACGAGATC